CCGGCGCGGCCCGCCCCTCCCCCCGCCGCGTGGCGCCAACAAAAGGCGGCCCCGGAACAAAGGCGGCGCCCCGACCGCCGCGCAGCACCTACCCCGCGTCTTCCTCGTTCTTGCTGGCGTTGATCTGGTCGCCCTCGGCGCCGTTCTGGTTCCCACTCGGCGGCGCCGAGGCTCCGCCTCCGGACCCCGCCGCGGGCCCGCCGCCGGCCCCGGCTGGCGACTCGCCCTCGGGGGCGGCCTCGTGTCCATTCTCGGTGGCGCCCGCCGTTTCCATGGGCTGCTCCTCACCCGCTTCCGACATGGTGGACCCTGCCGGCCGACTCCTGCAGCGAGCGGACGGCGCGTCAGGCGGGCACGCTCCTCGGGCTCCCACCCGCCGCCCGCGGCCCGGCGCTCACCTCGCCGCCGATGACGCCGCGGGGCCCGCTCTCCCCACCCGCCCGGAAGGCGCCGCGGGCTCGGCCGCGCTCAAGCTCGCGCTGCCCCGACTTCGCTTCCGTCTACCGACGGAGCCGCTCCGGCCGAGTTTCCGCCTCGACCGCCGCCGCACAGAACCCGACTCCCGACTCCGGCCCGCGCGCTACCGTCGCTTGACAATGCCGACTCGTGGCGCTCTTTATAATGCCGGGGCCAGGAGCACCTCGCAACAAAGTGTGTGTTGATTAGCTAGCTACGCACGTCACTCAACGTAGCGCTGGCTTCCTATTGGCCTCGAAGACGCGCGCGCTCTAGATCCGGGCGGGCTTTGTCCTCGTTTTAGAACGCGCGCGAGTCGAGGCGCTGCGGCTGGTCCGAGCCGGGTAGTGGGCTAGTGTCTCCGCGCAGCGCCGCTCCGCCGACCCCTGCGGGCCGCAGCCGCCCCCGCGCACCCCGTCCCACATTGCCTGCCTCGGCCTTCCCAGTTCCCAAAGAAAAAACTGGGCGGGACGAAACCTCCAATCGCGGTCGCCCGGATGGAGGCGCCGAGCCGAGCCCGGGCGCGGGGCGGGCGCGGAGAGTCCGCGACCACCGGCGCCCGGCTGGCCTCGGGGCCCGGAAGGCGGCGCTCCGCCCTCGCCCCTCCCCCCGCCGAGCCCGGGTACTGGGCCGGGTGTGTGGCGCCGAGAACGCCTGGCACCGCTTCACTTCTGTTTACTTAATTTTTGCCCTCTAAATTCATGTACTTTTAGCCTGGCGTGGTGGCGCACACCTGTACTTCCAGCTCTCCGGAGGCTAAAGCAAGAGGCTCGCCACCAGTTCGAGGCCAGCCTGAACTACCCTGTCTCGAAAGACCAAATAAATACATAAATTCGTGTGCGTTTTGCTGAATTTGTGTCTTAGAACACACTGTTCCTGTGAAAGTATGT